TACGTTACGCAATGAAGCACCGAAAATGGGTGAAGAAAATGTGTCTCAGTAATGCGTGTTTGCCACTCATAATGCACTGTACTTTGTTTGAATAAGCAATAAACTATTTGTGATCTTAGGTTATCCATTGTTCGTTATCAGAGTTAACAGATTCTTTGTGTGATTTTTTTTCAGAATCCCAAGAGTGGATGCCTTAGTGAGCACAGAACAGATATCACCATTGGTCTACATATGTCAGGAAGAATGTTATAATTATGAACTTTGTGTTACACTGAACTTCATTTTGTTAAATTTTGTATTTAACTGAACTTTATTGTGTTAAAATAATAATAAAAAAATAATAATTCTGATAAAAAACTACAATCTGGAACATTCTTTAGATCAACTTTGTTCAGTGTGTGTCCCATGTGACAGAGTTACAGTAAATAAAATATGTGCATTATTCCTCTGTGTTTGTCAATTCCATTTTAAAAGCATGTGAAAGTGGTGTGCCCCTCATGATTGAAGTGTGTATGGATAATAGCAAAAATATTGTTATTATTTACATGATTATAAAAAGTTTTTGTACCCGCGTCAATAATGTTACCGTGACCCACATATTCACCATTTTTATTAATTATGAAATGTGGATTAAATTCTTCAAAACCAGTTTTGAAGCATTGAGACAACACCCCCTTATGATTTAAACTAAAACGGAAAACATTCCATTAGACTTTCATTAGTTTGTGCAAAATATATTACCCAGGGTAACGCGTCTTGGATTTGGTGGGTATAGCTGTTCAACTCTCCTGTGTGCAGCTGCTGTTTCCCTTTTTATGAAATGATAAACTGTGATGGTGTAGCTATCACATCGCAAAATTACAGCTTCCCAGAGAAAGTTTGAAATTTTCGGTCAAATTCAACATTTTGTAACCACTAGCAAAGAATGACAGTTATGTAATTTGGAGATGCAAATTTCCACAAAAAAACCTCTTGAAGATAATTCTAATTATCAAAATAGGTACCTCAATAAGGTTTTCCCAAGTGTATGTTTCAAGCTAGTTATTACCTCCGCCAAGGTCAATTGAAATGTGCAGAGTGCCTGAAATATGGAAGACAGCAACCATCATACCTGTGCCAAAAAGTAAAACTGTAGAGAATTTAAATGATTTCCGTCCTGTTGCTTTGACACCGGTGCCTATGAAGATATTCGAAAAACTTGTTCTGTCTTTTATTAAAACTTTAGTGCCAAATAGCTTTGATCCACTGCAATTTGCCTACCGCAGTAACAGAAGTGTAGACGATGCTCTTTCTATGTGTTTACACAAAGTTCTCGAACATCTCGATTGTAAAAATGCCTATGTTAGAATTTTATTTGTTGACTATAGCTCAGCATTTAATACTATTGTACCAAGCAAATTGTATTTTAAACTTTTGGATGATCTTAATTTTCCACCAGCACTCTGCGATTGGATTTTAGATTTTCTTTTAAACAGAAAACAGTCAGTAAAAGTCGGTTTTAACTTCTCGGACACTATAGCTTTAAACACTGGCACACCCCAGGGCTGCGTCTTATCACCTTGTTTATATACGTTATTCACCCACGACTGTGTGGCGAGGGAGGAAAATACATTTTTAATGAATTTTGCCGATGACACAACTTTAGTCGGCTTGATACACCATAATGATGAGATGTCATACACGCAGTCGGTTACAAGTTTAGTAAATTGGTGCACAGACAATGACTTGATATTAAATGTGAGCAAAACAAAAGAAATGATCATAGACTTCAGAAGAAATCAGATAAGTAAAAATCCCTTGGAAGTTAACGGTAAAGCGGTCGAACAGGTTTCTAATTATAAATTACTAAGGGTTCAGCTGAATAATAGGTTAACCTGGGGCGATAACATCACGAAGCTATTGAAAAAGGCACGTCAACGAATGTATTTCTTAAGGAAATTGAAAGCTTTTACCAGAAATGTGTTTATTTTAACGAACTTTTACAGGTGTGTTTTAGAGAGTATTTTAACTTTTTCAGTAACTGTTTGGTATGGACGTGCAACTGTGGAGGAGAGGAACAAGTTGGAAAAGATCGTCGAAACTGCAGGGATTGTAATTGGAACAAATCTAACTCCCGTCCATACTATATATCTAGACAGGACTAAAAAGAAAACATTATCAATAATGACAGACAGTTCCCATCCAGCCCATACCCTTTTTAAATTTTTACCTAGCAATTCGAGACTCTTAGCTTTTAAGGGTAGTAAGCGATTTTTAAATAGCTTTTATCCTTCGGCAGTAACTATTTTTAACTCTAACATGTAATTTTAATTTTCATTTTTTATATTTCAATGGCGCTACTACAGGGCAAAAGATTCCCGATTTTATACATTTGTATTTTATTGGCTTAATGAATTATTATTATTATCATTATTATTATTATTATTATTAAGGAGGTTATGTTTTTGGTTCCGTTAGTTTGTCTGTCTGTCTATCTGCCTGTCTGTCTGTCTGCCTGCTAGCAACATTTCAGAAAAAGTTATGGACCGATTTTGATGAAATTTTCAGGAACTGTCAGAAGTGGGCCAAGGAACAGATTGTTAGTTTTTGGTGGTGATCAGGATCGATAATCAATCAATAATCAAAAATAAAAGAACTAAGTTTTTGACCGATTTTAGATGAAATTTATTGGAACTGTCAGAATTTTGCCAAGCAACAAATGATTGGTTTTTGGTGGTGATCCGGATCATTAATCGATCAATTATCAATAATCAAAAAACTAAATCATTATAGAATGAAATTTTAGAGGCGAAACGGCATTGAGTGGAGACTTTGCTGCCTTGGCGGAGGTCTGCGCTCTCGTAGTGCTTTTCTAGTTCATTAATAAAGTCAGGTTATAATACGCTTGGGACTTGGTACATTCCCTCGGTACAAAGCTAGAGATATAAGCCTACGGTGAGAGCGCCACGTTTAATTGCCCCGTACCATGCAGCCGATATTGAGCTATACATTGCATGGAATTTTCAAGAAATCCGAACTAACGACAAAAATAGAGATACGGAATTTTAAAACATTATTTCGACTACGTCTCGTCCAGTCGATTTAAAGGTACCAGTGTATTTTTAATAGACGTTCTTCGTAATATATCATTTTACCAATTCAACAGTTTGTGTCCAGTTTTATTCATTTTTCAATATATAAAAGCATTTTATTTGTGAGGGTGTGCCGTAGGACCTTACGGTTCGGGTAATCGTCAAAATGGATACCAGCTCTTTACACAGAATTCCCTCGAAAAATGCACAAATTGTCGCGTAAATGCTGTCATTACTTCAACTCAATGTAGTGTGTCTCCTTTGAAGGTTACATACCCTTTTGATCCATGTCAGGCTAGATGGACATTGTATATAACTATTTGTTTATTTTTTATTATATGATGTCCATTCACATTTGCTTTTAAAATGTACGATATTTTCAATGATGACAACACGAAAGTGCTCTGCATGTGCATTAAAGTCATGATATGAAATTTGAGTACAAAAAAGCAAATATCAAGTAAGTATATATACATGTACTAAGCTGTAAGTGGATTTCTACTTTAAATCTTTATCTAAACACTAACGTGTACCGTTCAGAATTTTTTCATTAGTAAAGACCATTATTCTGTTATAGCTAAAATTTAAATAAATTTAATATATTCTGCATCAATACTACATGTATGTGCGTTTAAAATTAGTCACGAATACGGATTTGCAGTAACTGTAACCCTATGTTTACTATATATATAGTCATATATACGGATTTTTAGTAACTGTAACCATTGGTTACTATATCCAGACACAATAAATGACTTTCAGCGTTGACGCTGAATATAAAATACACCTGCAGGGTGTATATGTCCACGTACATCTTATGGAGAGTATTCAGACAGGCCTTGGTGTTAAAAACATCTGGCTTGATACATGTAATATATATAGAACAGTATTTATGGTAAAAAACGTTTCGATCAAATCTAACATAAGATTTGAAAATATGCTCTTCTGAAGACCTTATTTGCCCTGGTAGAAAAAGTTAAGTTCACTTAGTACATTTTTTGTACACATGCACTCAAAGCTAGAAAGCCTCCCCCACCCCCCTCGCAAAAACTCTCCACCGGTCACGATTGTGATCATTCTGTCTGCTTAAAGCATGGACCCACAGACCTCCGTCAGACCGCCTCTGTATGTTGTTCCCATAATAAGACCACGCCAATAGCACCATAATTCAAAATGTCTTATTTCTTCATGTCTGAGTTTTTCACAAACCAACATTCCGCGCCATGTGAAGCAATAGAAAAATCTGAAAGCTGAGCATTCTCTTCTTTGTGTTAAGAGATATGTTTTCCAGAGTGTCATCGTAATGGTCAGTGAATATTGCACCAAGATAGATTAATTGTTTCACATTTTCTGCTTTTTCAGTATTGATCAGGATATGGCTGCTCCCATCGTTTTCCTCAGTCTCTCTGTATTTTCATCACTTTTTGATTTTTTTCTAAAGCGTTTAGAAAAAGATCAACTTTCTCGCTTTCTGTTCTCATCCTGTCGACCGATTCTTGTGGTTTAAACACAAAGCGTGCAAAAAGGACTACATTATTGGCGTATCTCAGGTTCGACACATTTTTCCCTCAACATTGACATTTCCTTCATAATCTTCAAAATTAAGGTACCATTTCCATTAATAAGACGGCGATTGTACGAACGTAGACAGAACGTACTCTGCAGGGTGCTCTTGGGTGTCAACACCATATTTCCTGCATACAGCCAACAGCTGCTTTTTTGCCTCACTTACGGATTTCTCCTTTACAGATATCGCACAAAAGCCGCACTCATTGTCCGTGTTCTCTTCCTTCAGGGGTTCCATTTCATAGTAAATTATCTCGCCTCGCTCGTGTGCCTCTGCGAGGATCTCCGGTGTGGCAATTCCCGGTCGCGACAACGCCTTAGAGTGGGCTGCAGGAGAGCATAAAATCGCCATGAACTGACAAGTTGGTTCAAATGGCTGGATGTTTGGTTGGATCCCACAAACGATCAGAAAATTAAGGAAAAGGATGTCCGTTTCGTACACGGTGCGCACCCAGTTCCTGTAAAACCAGGCACACATTCGTCCGTTGATCTCGATCAGTTTGGGACCCGTGGGTGTCATTTTAAACTCGACGTTGAATACTCCGTCCGTGTGACCCACGCCGCTAATACATTGTAAGGCTGCTGTTATCAGGTGCCTCTGCCTCTCAGGGTTTAAACACGACGGCATACAAGTTGAGGTCTCAAAAAACTGCGGGATGCGGGTTGGACCACAATCTGAGACGAACGCGGCTAAAAGTTTCCCTCTGTACACGACGATCTCAACTCCGTGTTTTGTTCCCTGTGCATATTCGGTTAAGTGCATTGCGCTCCCGTGGTTCTTCCCAAAAGGTGGGTCGTTTGTCATTTTTTCGCTGTTCTTGGTGTTAACTAAATATTTCATGCATTCTGCCTCATCTTTGACTAAGTTGACTCCATAGGAACATGCCCCGAACTCGGGCTTCAATAGGGCTGGATACTGGATATGGTTTGACGATCCAGTCACATCTTCTGGTTGACTAATTCCGTGCGTCTTGACAGCAAACAGAGACGGATTGGGCAAAAAAGGCACATTAACTCTTGATTGTTCTAAAGATTTTTGACTGAGACTTTTCTTCTTGGACTTTCTTGCAGCTTCGGGTGTACTTCCGATCATGCGCAGTGCCTTGCACACCAATGACGTCAAAGGAACGTAATCGTCCACCACGGTCATGCAGCCGTCTATGGCTAGATCATGTGTGCGTACTAACTGGACAATTTTCTCTGCATTGATATCCTCGTTGTTGCGATCTCCTATTACGCACTGAATGAACTTGTGGACGCATTTATCTGCCTTATTGTTGGGATCCCCATCAACCAAGGTTATCTGAAATATGATATCATAGCTTTTTATGATGTTAATGATGTACAAGCGCCGTTGTACATGTAAGCGCTATGGCTAAAAATGCTTAAAATCTGATTCAATATCTGGTCATGTATACATTGCTAATATTAATTTTTTTAAAAATGACACCAAAACATTGACCATGATAGTTTTTATCAAAATAGAGACAATAATATTCTTGACAGATCAACAAAATGAGGGGTACCCGTTAAACAATAAAAAAAAAAAACAAAAAAACAGTCGTACAAAGAATGAAAGAAATTAATGAAAAATTAAAACAATGTTGGTATTTTAGTGGTACATATATATTTTTAATTTGCGCGTGTGTAAACTTTGATTTTTTCCTGTTTCGTTCAACACTTACTTTGACATTGTATTCCCTCACAGCTTCCCAAACAAATTCTTCTCCCGCGCCTATAAGTAGAATATGCTTTCCTTGAAGAAGGAACCGCTGACTGCAGTTGACCATGGTTGCCACCAGGGGTCGCACGCTGCTTCCAAGCTTTGAGAGGTTTTGAAACTCGTGGATCTGCGAGTTCGCGATGGTTTTCCTGCTGTTACTGATACTTACAGCCACGGCGTCATAACTGCCGTCTTCTTGATGGGTCAGGACAAAATTGACACCTGTAAATATCATGCGTCAGCAAACTAACTGGCGTAAGTAGACTACATTGTACGTTATGATAGTAATAGTGGCCCATTCTGTGTTCACAATTAAAGATGATGCGAAACATGTAAGGTGTTTTGTTCAACCCGAATTTATACAAAATATGGAATCATTATGTTTGATTGATATTTATAAGAACTTTTGGATACGTTCCATACCTGGGAGCAATCAACGGTTACTTTGGATGGGGATTTTTACCGAAGACCATTTTGTTCACCTTCACTCAGACTATCGAAAGTGTACCGTTGAATTATGGTATAGAACCCAACTTTTTCACTGCTTACCTAGTACGTTTGTTCTCATCAACGATCCCCCGATTTCTTCCTTCTTCAATTTGCTTTCGTACCTCATCCAGTTTTCTAATATTACTTCCGCCTTTGCCTTGATCATGGAGCGTATCTGTTGAATAACGTAAAAAGTAATATGCCAAATAGTGGGTTAACTCCACTGACTAATAATAAATACCTTCTACAGTAAAACAGTGTTGGGCAAATACTTTCGGTTGATTAATTAATATCTGCAATAACAATAAAAATAAATAAAATATGAAGGAAATAAACCCAAATATTTAAAGGTGGGATTGATCTAAGTGTGCTTTCTAGACGGATAAAATACTTAAAAACGCTATATCTTACAAGCATAATCACCAGACGATGAACTGTATTTCACTTTCACAAATTTAATTGGCCTATTTTTACTTTACGTGGCAAATGAAATGCACCAGAAGTTGCGAGTTTTGCAACGTTTTAAAAGTTGAGTGCTGTCGGGCGGATGTATTAGGCAGATATACATACGCGTGGCACTGGGGTAGGCACGGCATTGGGTCGGGTGCTTGTACAGGGTGTATACTTAATGTGAGACTTAATACATGATGATGATCAGGCAGTACCGTGACAAAATTTTTCTACAAAAAAAAACCGTGAAGGGAAGTTTCCCATTTTTGAATAAAACAATGAAATAATCCTCACCTGCACGCACCAATCGCACCGCTAAATTTTCAAAGGTATAATTTGGGGGGACAGAAACCCGTTTCACAATCAGAGCGAAAGAGAGGAAGGGAGCGAGCGAACTTTAAACTGCTAAACTGGTAAAGTCAGCTATGCAAAGATTCAGTCCCTAGGTTATTTCCCACTCCAAACCGATAGAATGAGTTACACTGTAAGCGGCCAGTTATACCTCTAGCAAATGGCAACTTGGCCGGTTCTCTGATTCATAGCATTCTCGGCTAAGAACGAGAAGTATTTAGTGAATCTGGGCTCTGGCGTACACTTTACGATGTGCTTACACTCACCTTTTCAATTTCGGATCTTTCTTGAAACCCCCATTGGCTGAGAAAGCCCTCTAGTGACAGTGGTAGCGTATTGCCTCCGTCTAGCGGTTTGTCCGCGTGACCAACGCCGCAGACGATGTCCGAAACCAGTTGATTCCCGTTGGGAGTGCAGCAGACGACAGCTCGGATTGTGCAAGACAATGCTTGGGTCTTCATGCCAACTAAAATATAATATGTATACAAGCGAAATTGAAAAACGCAATAAAATAAAATGACTTGGCAAACGTTCAGAAATGAAACAAAATTATTGTAAGCTGAATCCAAGTAGTAAGAGTATTGTAAACCTAAAAACCCGAAACACGTACCTGCCTGTTCCTCGTAGTCAAGATGAGGGACAGGTAGTAGTTTAAGGGTCTCACAAAATGCCTCCACAATGATGCTCTCCCCCTCTTCTAGGACATCTAGACCTTGACACATGGCGCTGTAGACGCCAGCTTGGTCATGGGCAGAATGGTAGGACACACCTGGTGATGCAGAGCCAGGCACCTTGACGACTACCTTCAACGATATTATAAAACTCCGCTGCAAAACGATATTTTAAAGATTGCAACGTTTAACAGTTTTATATGACATGTCAATTTACACGAAACTGAAACGATATGTATCTCTCTCTCAATCACGCACGCACGCACGCACACACACACACACACACACACACAAACGACGACCAAAATTACATATACCTTCTCAATGCCCTTCTTCAACAGACGCTTAAGAAACACGCCCAGCTGACTCCTGATATTCTCTTTTCCGTCCTCCTTATTTCTTACAGGGACCACCGAAATATCATGGTCTCCCAAGTTGTAGGAAATCTTTGGTCTGAACGGGAATGCGAGCGTGTCGGGATAGGCAACGCCAGCGTCCGCCACCAGAATACGCGTGAGAATTCGATCATCCAAACGTTTCACCATCTCTTCTGTGACTCCAACTGGACATTCTAAATCCCTCTCGAAGTTTAAAAAGTTATTACTGGGCGAGCGTGCATCCGCTTTCTCGTTCCCTGTTAAAGTACGTTTAACTGTTATCATCATCATCATGTCCATTTTATAAAAAAAATGAATTATAAGTTAATAAATAATGGATTTAAATTGTTTGCAAACAATGAACCCTACATGCGTGTACTGATGTAAATCATAACGCTAAAAGCATGAATCAAAAGCAATAACAATTTGAATGATATATGAAAATATATAAATATAGGTGTGTAAATATATATAAGAGTTATTTGACATCTTATCACTGTTAATTGACAGGCATTACCTGTGACAAGGTTCATAAAGTAATTGACACGACGAGGCGGGGTGAAGATGTCCAAAAATGTTCGACCACAAGAGTCAAATGTGACAGCCTTGCGTACTCGTAAGGTTTGCAGATCTCTTTCATTGGTTGGTTCTTTCTGAAGCCATGTTAAAGAGGGTACCAGTAACATACCACCAGGACACTGCTTCCCACCCTCTAAACACAGGTTCAGACAGGTGAGAGGTTCCCCCAGTACCACCATCGTGATCTCTTCAACTGTGGGATTAGGTCGCGGATTCTGTAAATTAAATTGGACAGTTTTCCTGGAAGCATCATCGTTCCACGGTTTCACTAGAGGATTACACATACAGATTAATTACGCAAATCGCTCGTCCTGCAGCTTGTTCATTTAACACACGGCATGGAACAAGAGGCTTGTTAGGGTTTCATGTAATATTTATTCGCAACAGCTCATTTGCTGCTAAATCGCTTGCATACAAGTTACATTTGAAGTATACCAGTATGTATTTTCGAAATACTGCCTTACCTGAGTTCTATCTTCAGTTTCCGGCAAATTGCAAAAACTCAGTCCCTGCTGCAAATCATGCCAGAACCGGCTTGTCTCGATTTCTTGGTCCACACAAAAGGATTCCATTCTTATTTCCTGACGGTTGAGATTTGTCTGTATCAGTAATGAATATTAGTAAATTATATTCAGATATATGGTGCATGAAATAATACAGATTTTGTTATGTGTATGATGTCAATTATACTTATATATTAATTTGCCGATTTAAATATTTTATCCATTTTCATTGAGCTAAAGACAAGGCGGGTTCTTAAGCAACGCTCACACTGCAAAAGAGGATCAGATCTATTCTGCTGTCCAATTTGAAATGGTATTTCGTCTTAATTATAATAATAATAAAATAATAAACAGTCTTTGCACTTTGAAAGACATGCACTTAACAGGCTAGACATGTCATGAGAAAGTGTCACAACAACAGTATAGTACAACAAATATATTCATTGTAGGTACAAAGATACGAGTTACTTGATTTTAGGTGAACTGTTCAGTATGGACAGAGTACTAGTGTGTTTTCCCCACGTGATCGGTCAGAGCAGTTGTTACAAATAGAAGGTGATACAGCATGTTTTAGTGTGGGTCGTTCGAAGGCTCTTTCGTGAACTTGTAACATGCTAACAGGAGATGTACATGTAGATCCCTTCCAGCCTCCCTATTTCTAAGAATTGTAGGTGATTATCGGAAGACACCTTTGGTAAAAGTTATGCAAGTTTGCCTGATGAAAAGATAAGTTTTTTATATTAAATGCGTTCTATGTACACGTGTGAAATAAATTTGTAGGCTTGGGAGAAACCACCAAAATATTTCCCATTGACGACCATACTAAGAAATGCCTGCAAAACTGCATAAAGAAAATAACTCTGGGAAACATTTCCCATCTCCATGGACAGCAGACACACTGACATAACTCCAAATGGCAAAAAAATATACTGTCATCAACTCCGCTGTCTTACCGGCATCACTTGAACATGTGCACCCCTCTGTTTGTAAACAAACCACTGCACCACTCACAGTCAGTAGACCCTTCCGCCAGAGGTCTCACGACTGCACTGCACCTGTGCCTGGTCCTGAAAAAAAAACTGGCAGTAGTTAACACCCTACTCTGCTAGTTGATACCAAAATTAACCCTAGCAACACACAAGAAATGCCAGGAAAAAAATGGAAAAAAGCACTCATTTTTTCTCACTGAACTATATTCGTCTATAACAGGTGCTGATTGGTTGATTTGGAGGTTTCTGCCCTGAAAATGGCAATAACATGAAACAGCCCTAACGTAATAGCTTAATAGGCAGGCCATAAGTTGTCAGTCTCCTGAGTTCCCACTTACGGGTGAGAATGCAGATCGCTGTGCGTAACAGTTATGTAAATTGTCTTCTCTGTTGCCGTGCACGTCTGCACGGTAATTGATTGATGATAACTCACCTGGATCAGGCGGGGAAATTGGTCTCTCCACCTGATATGCGCAGTACTTACCGTAATTGCGCGCTCTCCGCGCAGGGAGAGCACACCGGGTGAAGGTACCTGTAGGAAAGTGCACGATCACAGCCTATACAGATGTATCGTTTATACAAGCCCGCTGGACGTGAAAAGGCCTGTAGAGATTATCCACTTCTCTCCCTACCGTGCGATCGCGTCCAACCCCTTTTTCGAGCACTCCTCTCGATTATTGTAAAACCTGCTAACCAAGCTAATTAGCCTGGAAAGTAGCACATCGCAACCGTAAGTGGGGCACCTGCGTTGAATATGATATATAGCACATACAGGAATCACATGGTGGCGCCTCTGAACGAAATTCAATGCACATGTGTCCTGTGTGCATGCTCGGCATACCGAAGGCTGGTCACAGAAAGGCCAAGCAGTGGTCAGTATGGTCAGTTTGGGCCGTCAGCACCGCACGACTGACTGAATATCAGGGGCAGCCGATGTTGTAATCATAAATTTCGTTAATGGGACGAATGTCACCTGTGAAAAGTAATGGGGAACTGACTGCGGTTCTTAGGCGACTAACATTTCTGTTACACCGGCTATGTGAAGCGTGTCTTTGTTACACTCTATTTACAATTTGCTCTAAACAATGGCCCATCTTGTTGTTCGCTTTTGACCCAGATGAGAGATTCAGAGTACCTTTTTCTGTTTTAACTGCACTTGTGACTTATGGCATTTATTATTTTAGTCTACTACTTTGTGAAAGTCGGTATTCGAATCGCTGGAAACTGCTCAATGTACAGTTTCCCTTAAAGGCTGAAAATATTGTTATTTATAGTTATATGCCATGAAGTCCAGCTTGAGAAATATCGTCCTATTCTCAGGCTATACATGGCTGTAGCCATGCACATAAACTCTTTGTAAATACTACCTATTCACTATCTTGCATCTCTCCTTCAACCCATCCCAGCAACCCCTTTCATCCGTTTGTACCAACTATAACAGCCAACTAACACATTCTTGGGTTGTAACATACCCTGTATTTATGTGGGTATTTGCAAATGTTTTTTCTTATTGGAAACCAAGAAATATGAATAAAAGATATATTACCGTTAAAATGATATTTGACAGAAAGGCTCGAAATATTAGATTCAGAGGGTAGAGAAATGCAGATACGATACTTCCTATACCTTTATTTCATTAATTTTTGGAAGATTACCGATTAATCTTGCTTAGAAAGTACCCATAAGTGGTGCCGTGGCCTAGAGACAATTGACTGTGTAGCTGAAAAATTCGATTTTTTTTTCGAATCTAAAACTCGCTGTCGGGTTATGCTTACTTTACCGCAACGACAAACACTCTCCGCAAGTTTTGAGTGATATTCTTTAAACGACGACTTGCTTAAACACTGTATAAATTATTTTACAAGAAATGAGATTCTTTTAAAAACGCCGCATTAAAACACTACATAAATTACTTTAATGTATGTCCATTCAAAATGGATAACATTCACATAAACTCAAGTCATTTTCTTGAGGGCTCTTATAAAATGAGATCTGTTCCTTCTCACACGATAGCATGCAAGTTTAATTCATAGATGATATGGGATGATGTATTTCTATATGCAGTTTTTTTTTCAAAGCATCACCACTCACACCGCCCCATGTCGACTGCACTGCAATGCGCTAGTCTGAAAGATGTTTTGACTCTTTACAATGTGATTCTAGTAGAGCTATTCCTTCCTCTTCGTTTTTACGGAATTTTTTCAACCATTCATGAACAAGAAGGTTGTGATATCTGAAAAACAACAAATTCTTCAGTGAGAAATATAACCAGAAAAACTTTACTGAAGGATTTAAAATCAAATGCTGATAATCATCAAACATACTGATGTTCCTTTATCGGTCTGTTTGAATGAGGCATGCTGCGTTAGTTATGTGTGACGTCATACTTGACAAAAGACATTTCCATTGCTGCAAACCACTTGAGAAATTAACATATACAGTATAAATGATAAATTCACTACACACGAAATAATCGTATTCTAATCCTCGATGACCTTAAGCCCCTACGTTACCTCGGCCTCTCAAAGAACTGGAAATATTTGTCTGTGTCTAATCTTGGATAGATCCTGTCGAATCCTCCCCGCCTGCTGTTCTCGTCTATTGTGTCAACGAGGACCCGGATGTCATCCGGTGTCAGATTGTCCAGGATAGTAGATACGATATTCTGAGGGATAAAACAAGTTTGAATAATTATATAAATTGAAGTATATAATCAAAGACTACCTTTCAACAGAAGGGGTCGACAGTGGGGTGCCGGTGTTACGAAACTAAGGGTGGTTATAATAGTAAGGGTTAGCCTGACTGCAACCTAAGTGGTTCAACATGTAGGGCGAGGCTCACCTGTACAAATGAATGGGAAGCGGACTCCCTCTCTATCGGACTCTCTGTCACGTAACAGTAAGTAAATCTCGGTTTTTAGTTTAAGATTTTTAATCAAGACTTTGTCTTTGAAGCGTTGTTATTGCCATCCCTATCTAGACTGCCAGAGCAATAATTTGGTTTCGTACCGTTGGATGGCGCTAGTGGTGTAAAATACAAACCTCGTCCTTGTGGTTATCACAATAATATTTCTGTTTTGCTTGTTCTACGGTAGAGAGCGTATTTGACCACCACCGTTCGCCCAGCAGTAAGTGGTCAGGAACGTCAGACCCACTGGAATAGAAACATTTGAATATCTTTACTATGTCCGGTTTACGTTCGCCGGTGTAAAAAGGGAAAACTGTTGGAAAAGTAACAAACAAGGGCATAGGAATATTGTAACATATAGATTTCAGAAGTCAATGCACAAAACCATAGAAAACCACATTTTATCAAATCTGCCGTCGGTACACGTCAGTGAAGACATGCCGTACCTTTCTTCGTCGCTTTCATTGACTGCACCACCAGGAATTCTGAATCCGGCTATATTCAACAGGTCCCTGGCCATGGGGTCATTGACCGGGTGAAAGTGACCAGGATGTGCCAAAATACTGAAAGAGAAATATTTAGAATGTACTGTGTAGAGACGATATGTATTTAAACAATGGTAAACACAATCGACCAGGCAAAGGTACTCGCACGCACACATACACAGAGAGAGAGAGAGAGAGAGAGAAAAATCGTGTTGTCTAAAAATATATCAATCACTTACCCAGGTGCTATGTTGACCTCCAGAATCCAAGGATCCATATTCTCGTCCAGAAGTATATCAAAGCCAAGCAGTTCATGTCCGCTGTATTTGCTTTTTAAGTATTTCCGTACTCCGTCATACATCTCAGGCTCTCCACTATAAGAGGAGTTTTAAAAAAGATTTAATTTGGATAAGACATTCGGCCTTTTGCAGAGCGCTGAAAAGTCGAATTACTACTGTTACATCTACAAATCCTAATTCCATTATTTATTTCCTGATTCAGTTTTGAGCTTAAATAAACTTCTTGCTTTGTACAATTTTACTTTATTATTATTATTATAATTATTATTTTTTTTTTTTTGCTAAGTATTTGAAAAGGCGATGAGACAAAGAGAAAAGACAGGAATAAGTTGGAAGAAAGAGAAAGGGCAATAATAACAACGAGGAAGAGGAAGGCGCATTACGTGATAATTGTCTTAATTACGATGTCTTTGATTTTCTCCCATATTGGCTCGTGGTCGATTCCGTCCGTCTTCTTCAGATACTCCCAGAGAGTAGAGATCGACCTGGTAATAAGATGAAAACTGGGGTTTAATAGTCATGGAGCGGGGCTAATAGCTTGGGCTTAGTTTAGTCGACCTGGGTCTATGAGACGGTAAAGAATGATTGGTCCACAATAAATGTATTTGACTATTGTCTACACTGAGAGTAAAATAAATCAGTCAAGGCAATCGCAATATGCTCTAAAAATTAAGAAACCAAGAAACGAGAAAAATTGCCTTTTAGATTCTATGCAAAATGTAACTAAGTCGTCTAAGGCTTACATTAGTAGACTAAGATTTTAGTAAAAAAACTTTCTTTATAGACCTTTTGTGAATCAAGTCCCTGATTCAACTTACAAGATGCACGTTTTTATACATTCTGACCACATGGTCCACTATTAGTCTGTTACAAATTATTATATAGCGTGTATTCTGAGAATATAAAGCAAATACTGAAGAAGCACAAAAAGTAGACTTCATAACTACCATTTATGTCCCGTTTTCAGAGAGTGATCCAGTGTGTATTCCGGGTTCTTTGTGTTGATTTCATTATTGGTCAGATGGATCATACCGTCCAGGTCCCCTGTGGTAAATCTGGGTTTTATATAAAGTTATAATTAAGTCATACTGTGCGCGCTAGACCTTTATTTAGTTTAGCAATAAGATAAAATAATTTTTGGACATCCAGTTTTTTTCCACAATAGCAAGGGTATATGCCAATCCAAAACTGTCGAAAAATTGCGTTTTAAACCCATTTCTAGTTCTGTACTTCTATTTTCTATTACCTTCAGGACAATAATTCACCAGTCTTCATTTACATTATAAAAGTGACTCAAAAAGTCAGGGTTTGGTGTACCTGTATAGCACACATTGGTGATTAAGACCAATTGTTATGATAAACAGTTAAATAATTGGTTTGCTTTTCAAAGGTAAAACGCACACTGTTTGTCAGTCAACACAACATTACCCTCCAGCAATATCAGGCTGCTTTATAAATACTGTAGCGTGAACGTTCAACGTCCATAAATGTCAAGTCTCAACATATTATCAATTTATAAATGATTTATTCATGATAAAAATCCTGTTTTTTTTTTTTTTTTTTTTTTTTTTGTTTTTTTTATGAGTAACGTACTTTTTGGTAGCAAACTTGACTATTCCATCGGGGTAAATGTACACTCTTAGCGGGTCTATACTGGCAATATGGACATAGATCCTCAAGTCAAATTTATACCCGTCTATGAGATATGGGTTGGTGATATATCTGAAAGAGAAGCAGAAAAGGGGTATGCTGTTGTTACCTTTTAATTATTAAAATACTGTGCGGCTATAATGCGTTTTCATCAATTTACTAAATGCACTGTTTAAAGATGATTTTTGAAATATTTATCTATATGGAAATACACATGCAAAGTATGTATTATCAACCTAAAAAGAATTCTTAATATGAGATAATTGTATCATTCATTCCTATGGGGTTGTCTGAATTACTCTGCATGATAAAATTATTGACCCTTTGAATAATTAACATTAGAGTCATTAGTGTGGCATACCTTTGTATGACATTTCTTTGATCCCTCGGAATCTGTTCATATCGCTGTATCACTTCAATGCCTCTGCCTCCATGGAAACATGGCTAGCAATAAGAAAGATTATACACCATGTAAATATATCATTACGAAGAAACACATGAACGTTTTTGGGACAACAGTAAGGGACCATTCCCAGACCCTACCGTACTAACTGTCGATCGATCTACCTCCAAGGGGATTCTCGCTAAATTGCAATAAACTTAAGCTGCTTAGATGGCTGTCAGTAGAACTGTCAGACAACTAAGCCGCTTAAGTTAGAAGACATTTAGCGAGATAACCCTCGGAGATGGATCGATCATGTTAGGTATGGGAACCAAATCTAAAAGTCAATGGTAAAAGCAACCAGACGACTGAGAGAGACGATACAGGACAGCCGCGGAGAATGGTCACGCCTAGAACAACCAACGGTTTCCTGATTTTGACTGAGGATAACCTATAAATTTAGGATCAAAACTGTTTATACACCACGTATAATGGCGCTTGTCGTTGGAGATTATTACATGATACCTGGGCTTACTCTATTGCTTTATACAAAATTATTTTAAAATGTACTTAGAAAAGTTTATTTTAATGCTTTCAATACTTCACTACGATAAAAAGCTGTTTGGACAATTCTGGAAATAGTGACTGTTAAAAAACATTTCCTCTCAAAGGATGAAACAAGTGAATTGTTCTCTTGATTGCCATTGGTGTTGATTTTGTATTAAATAGCACTGCGATGTCTTGTTTCTTCACCAATAATAGTCTTAAGGCTGCTTTCAAAAGCTCTTACAGGGTTAACAGATAAAACCCTACACATTTTTGCACTGTTTTTCACATATATGTTCAGTACCGGCTTTAAAATCCACAGTTGCCCCTTTGTGGCGAGATCCAATTCCACCCTCAGTGCGTCCATCTCATCAGGGATGATGTAGGTCGATGGATGGAAATTAAAGTTCTTCTTGCCGTGCTTTAGTTTCATTTTCCGCATCCTGTGTGCAAGACGGTCCTTGCAGCCTATGGCCCAGTTGTTGGGAAGGTGGTTATACTGGAAAGAAAATGCTGTTAATTCAAATTCATTCCATTATTGACGGATATATTAATTAATTGTTATAACCTTGAATATTATAATATGCAATGTGCAAAAATATATTTTCCTATAACTATGGTAGCTATTGGATGGATAACAAGTTAAAGAAGTGTAAAAATCAATAATAATAATAATAATAATAAGTACCTTTTGACTGGGTTGAATGGATGCATACATGTGTGTTTGGTGGGGTTGATAACACCCAGTGTAACAACCTGACCACAGCCCGCCATCTGCAAAGTACAATCACATTCATGGTAAATATATTAACGTTATTTAATGTTAATTATTTCTCTTCCTTAAACTTATTTTAAAGACAACGGGGGAAAACTTCAATCTGTTGGTGTATACATACAGCTCGTTAATTAAATGATTGACTAATTCAGTAATGATGACTTCACAAAATTAAAGTAAACATATTTATGAGTGTAGTTATCTTTAAAGTACGCATAGTCACTGCATCTGAAATACAGATTCACAGGTTGTTCAGAAGATAGAAATGGCCAATATAAATGTCGCGACTTGTTGGAATATGTATGGTATGGTTATCTTCACAGTCTGACAGACATAGATGGTGTTCCAGATGTGAACAGACATAGTTCAGATCAATACCTTTGGTCAGTGCGTACCCAGACCGGTTTGCCGTGGCCGAGATGATTGGGGAACCCGGCTCGTACCAGAACAGACGGCGCCGGATGTTCTCCGGAAGTGGCTCTTCTGCAATGAAACCCATAAAAATGTCTCTTTGCAAAAAATGGTCACAGAAACAAATGTTAATATGAACATGGAGGAGGCAATTTGGAGCATGTTTTCAAAAGAACACAACTTTTGTGCAAGATAACTGAAACCTTGGGAATTGTTCATACACACACGAAAGTTTACTTTCAGCAAATTTCTCGAGATTTAATGATATTTCATGGGTTCTGCTTACTGCATAATAAAAGAAAGAATGCTTGAGAGTAAGCTCTTCAATGAACAAAAGAATTCAATATCTAGCCATCTAGCTGCTCTAGTGATGTAGGCCCTGTAATATTAATAATGTACTTCATCGTGATATGTGTATCAAACAGGCCCTACAGCACGAAGTTGATTAAGTTTTACAGTCAATACTGAAGGTGTGGCATATGTGTGTGTGCGTGTGTGTGTGTGTGTGTGCGTGCGTGCGTGCGTGCGTGCGTGCGTGTGTGTGTGTAAGCCTTACTCTGTTGTCCAGGCATTATAAAGTTGATGTAGGGTGGGACATTGGAGAACAGGCTGGGTGTGAGTGCCGGCAGTAACGGCTCCGATACCTTGTCTGGAATCACAATATATTTATGTATAAACAACTGATCAGATTATTAATTGAATCATCCTCAACAGAATTAAAATTATATCATTTACCTTTTATAAATTTATAAATTTTACCTATTCAATAAAACGTAAATGATATGATAATATTCGAAACTAATTATTAAGTCTTAAAATATTGATGAATCAAATAACTTAAGACAAACCTGTGTGTATATAATAAATGTGTGAGTAATGACTTTACCGGTTGACGATGTCCATGTGATATCTTCCTTAGATGTATGAAGACAGTCCTCCAGATCTCCGTTAGCTGACGTCGGTTTTGAGCAGTGTTCATTGTCTGTGCAGCGTACTATAGGGAATAGATACAGAGTAGATTCTGAATTCAATTTTAAGACTGAATTCAATTTCAGTGTCAAAAAAGCATGAAGGAAATATATGTCCTGTTTTCAGAAAAATAAGAATATAAAACCGGCACCGTTTCTGTAGACCATTATATCATAAGTACATGTATTGACAGCACATCAATTACGGATTAAATATTTAACCGCACGCAATGGTAACCATAAACCATGGTACTTTTGTATATAGGAACGTAAAGTGAACTGCACACAAATCACAACATAGGCGGGGANAAAGGAAAAATATGTCCTGTTTTCAGAAAAATAAGAATATAAAACCGGCACCGTTTCTGTAGACCATTATATCATAAGTGCATGTATTGACAGCACATCAATTACGGATTAAATATTTAACCGCACGCAATGGTCAACCATAAACCATGGTTCTTTTGTATAGGAGCTTAAAGTGAACTGCACACAAATCACAACATAGGCGGGGAATCTTTTCAGTGTCTATTAGCGGATTAGACGGCAAGCTTTTTAGTGGGTCGCCATGTTTGACTCGCGGATTAGTTAGTCCCCTGCTCTGAATGCGGCCTAAGAAGTCATTAGTCAACGAGCCATGCAATTTTGTCGGGACCTCCTTTTATTTCCCACATGGTTGTACATGGATGTTATTTAATGAGACCTGGACGCAAACTCGTAAGACCGCAGGCCTAGTATCCTCTACCGCCGGGGCGGCAGATTAATAATGGACACTTTTCTATAACACAGTTGAGAAAAGTGACACGTACACAATAATGTAGATACAGTATAGTGTAAACCTTTTGCCAATTTACATTTTGATTTTTTCACACTGACCAATCAATAGATTCGATTTTAAGATCTTGAAGTTCGTCTTGTGGCAGACGCAGTATCCAGAAGTCACATATTAACGGTGGGTGAGGTAGAGGCATGTGTGAGATTTCTTTCGCTCTTGTAAGATTAGATCCCCTGTCCGATTCAAAACCCCGGTCTCGTAACATGACGTTAAGGTGTGCTGACTTCTTACAAGCATGCAGTACCATGTACTGATTGAAATTTTCCCATTTTTTTCTGTGATGATGAAAATCAAATTAAATATAATATTTATTTAGAATAATTACAGAGAATAAACACACGGTATTCATGTATACAAATGATTATATCGGAGAAGTAATAAGCCGTGTAGGGGTCTGGTATCCCCTGAAACGGTAAGGCTTTTTTTTATGAATTCAAGTCACTTGTAAAATCACGTAATTACCAATCAAATATTGGCAGCAAGACTAAAATGTCCATTTTTCGCACATTTCGCTGACTTAAGCGCCCCCTATCAATATCACGGCCCATTGGTAATATAGGACGACCCCCCTAAAATAAATTGTCATATATACATTTGTCTATCATAACCCGGTGTCAAACCGAGTATAGATTGCCGAGGAAATAAAAGTTACTTTAGAAACCTCTTTTTAGGATAAGCGTCTAGTCTAATTGAAAATCAATCTATGACCCTGTTAGAGTGTATTATACAGGCCAGGGCCCGTAACTCGAAAGCATCGCGCATTGCGACCGAGTGCATTGCGTAGGCTACTAGCAGCTCAATAATTGTCCAAACGTCTTTCCGCCATTTTCATGTCGCAGATTTACGTACTCAGATCAAGTCGGCGACCTACATTTTATATAACCTGGTATACATTATAATAAGGACACAAGTTTTTACTCTCTCTTGTGTCTCATAGGTGGGAATTAAAACACAATTAGACTGTATGAAAACTGTTAACTTTTTACTCTCAGATTATGTTCACTAGTTATGTACAGATTCATTGCAGCTCTCTGAATATTTATCATCTGTGTACTGAAGTACATTTCCGTGCTGCCTAGCGAACAAACAAAAATTATGTCATCACTCAGCCTGAATCTTGTAGAAAGTACATGAAAGTGAGGATGCAGTATATTTAATAGGACCCAATTAAGGGTTATCCATTTTTATTGTCAGTTTTACAAGCCTTCAAAACGTACACTTTATCCAGCCCCCCCCCACCCGCTATCAGAGCGCACAAGAAGAAAAGCTAAATATGATGACCTTTGACAGCAATTTGAACCATAATTTTATTATTATTTTTATCAAGGGCATTATCCCCCTCCCAAGCGTACGGTTTGTAGACCTGTGAAAATGATGATAAAATTTATACATGTACGAGTACAGAAAGCTACATGTATCAACATCATGCATCTACGTAAAAATGTTATCTTCACTCTTGATATAGACGGGGCCCTCATTATATTCTTGATTTCTAGTGTAGGTACTAGTATGCATATATATACTCAGTATATATATATATGTACTGGCGAATGTTCAAGATGGCTTGGGTGATCGTTCCCTGTGATGCGGAAAAAGCCTTGAATAAAGATGTACGTTTAGATATGATGATACGCTTGGTACGATTGAATTGCGTAATCTATTATGTTACCGGTGTGACGTGGGAGAGAGTCCCCGTTGATAGAGTCCTGTTCCCATTAATTTGCATAGGTAAGATTTTGACCCAATTACGACAGGCAAACATTAACATTATATTGAGTGTGGACTCTTTATTATACAGACCCTTTGTTTCGTCACACTGGTCGTTTCCGTGCACGTTAGATAGAGATCTTGCCCATCGTTATCTATCCCTCACTCATGGTTTGCATATACTGGAAGGCATTACATTGCACTGTGCAAGAATCATGCCCTCTACCAGGACGACAGATTGATTTTTCACAGATATTCACACATCGATATGTCGCCAGATATATAGACAGCCATTTGGCTCTCTGGCTTTTTTCCAATTTTTCCCGATATACTCTGCCACCTTGGTAGAGGGTACAAGACTCACACGTAACATATAGATTGTTGACTGGTTACTCTTTAATAAGTTAGTGGACCAGATAAAATGTGGAAGTATGATCACAAAAAGATACAAGGCAACAACTATGCATCTTGATAACAGAAGGCGTCCTTTTAAACCTACACCACAAATTACTTAACTAAGTTAATTAAGACATGAATGAATTCCCCGTCTGTCAACATTTTAGTCATGGATGGCTGACCCCGTAAAGGTGAGTTAACGCATTTGACCACAGGTCCGCTGCCTGTGCTACTAGCGTGAAGACATAGGGGAAGCTGTTTAAGCTGAACTACACAGTAGTAATGTATTATGATCCGTTTGTCTATCCTACTATACAGCGACCTGCATCTGTTCAATCATATGTTTTTCTCTAACTTAGACAATGATTTAGATCTACCGTAGGGCAAAACTTACAGGTTTTGTCACAGGATTGAAGTAAATTATAGGCCTACAATGCAAAGTGTATTTCTATCTCACACAGATAGTAGTTTTGATCACCGACTAAAAATCGCAAGACCGATTTGATAGCTGCTCCCGAAGGCAGTCCTAACATGCACAGGGTCCATTAAATCATACATACACATGTATATTTCGTGCTGCATAAATGATGGGCCTAAGGTACCGGAATACAGTGTATTATTTCAACTCGCCTTATATGCTCTGAAATGTTTAGCTTGGTCATCTTCCCTCGCCTTTTTCCAGTTTCACGTTTTCAATTAACTTATGGCTATTAGGTCTTACGCTTAAACCATATGTTGCACTGAATACAATTCTATAATTAAAATATTTTATGCGTCTGTGCCGCGTAATAAAATCTTCCTCACATCCAGCCTGCGTGTACTACGATTTCCCCATCACAATCAAGCCTACACGGGCCAGGGAGTTGGACAATAACTGCGTTTTAACGGGACTCGTCAAGAAGCCTACGTACCTGTAGAATAAGTGGAAGCACCAAGCAATAAAACTGCCCACGTAGTCCAGTTATTTGTCAGGGTCATGTTGCGGACATTTACTCCAGGGCGAACTGACAGGTAGCTGGTGCTTCTTCGTCGTCACTTTATTAACTAGTGGTAAATCTACTCCTGCATGTTTAAACCACTAGGCACAAGTGGAGCGTGACCAGACGCGATGGTATCAGGTTCGCGTCTGTAGCCTTTCTAGATCTAGATCTCTAATTATTGGAGATTGTTTTCTTTTTAAATAATGTTTTATCAATAATTTTGCTTAATTTATTTCTGATATTTTTGTCTTTACAAAAAAAGATGAAGGCATTTCCTTAAAATCAATTAAGTGCTTGATATTCAAAGTAAGCTTCGATTTTTAAAATCGTTTTTTTACGTCGACGAGGACAAAAGGTAAGCTTTATGACCTTGCGGGTCAGGTAAATAGAAAAAATTCACGACCAGAATTTTGAATAAGGCACAGTTTTAAAGTTACATGTATTTTTGGCTGAATGAGGGATTAATTTGGTTAATGACTTGGCATGTCGACTTAATTTTAGTTGTATGAGAAATAACCAGAAGTGATATATACTGGTGCGTTACTGGAAATCCAACGTTTATATATGTTATTTGTAGGTAAGAGCAACCCTTCTGTTGACGTTGTATACATTTAAGTTGAGGACTAATTACCTCTGGTAACTGCCTGTTATTACAAAATTGCATCTCTCTGTATGGAGTATTTATTTATTTATTTATTTACGGGGTACGTGAAAGGTATATCAATCACACGGCCTCATGGGCCGTATTTTGCACATTTATCAAAACCATGTGATTGAGCTAGATAGGTTACAAGTTATAACAAGAGGAAACACAATAAGATATGTACGAAAACAGCAGTTGCAGAAGTGCAGTAGTGATTTATGGTACAGTCTATGAGTGCATTCAGAACACATGATCCGCCGACTAAATAAGGCCGACCTCACTAAAGAGCAAGCCGCCCTAGTCCTCTGATGCTATCCCCTCCGCCATTAAATGGATTAAATCTCGGCCCCGAATTTTAATTGCCAGGCCCCTGAAGCAACGGCGCGTGTGGAGGCGAGGAGCTTTTAGGTGGATCGGCAATATTTAGTCAGCGAATCTGTTAGTCCGCGGATCAACTTGCTCTGAATGCGCTCTATGTGTATTTGTTTGTCTTGGAACCCTGAATAAAACCGATTGTTTCGAACTAAAACTACTCTCTGTATTTGATTGGGGATCAAGCATACTTTCTTACCCTGTCTCTTATTTGCTACAGGTGTGGAAAAATGTTTTTCGTTTTCAATTTTCTCTTGACTCAAGTTTTCCTTCCGCGGGTGAGGGTGCAAGGGGAAAAGGGTGGGAGCCTGCTTTTCCAATTCGCCACGTCATGGCCATTTAGTTATTTTTCAAGTTCAGTTGACATTTTGTATATACTCAATTTTGCCTTGCTCAACTCTTTCCAAAAGAAAGGTTCATTTTTTCCCAAAATTGTGTCTAAATGTCGCCATCGCTCTGGACCAATAATTTTTTTAAATTTTCTTTTTTTTTTTCTGTTTGGTCAAGATACCTTTGTCTTGAATTGTCGAGTGTCTGCCTGAAGTTTCTGCATTCATGTACTGTGTACATGCTATGGTATACCTCAAAGCGTGGCTTAGGGCGTGACTTAGGGCGTGGCTTAGGGCGTGACTTAGGGCGTGGTCGGGGTTCTGTGTGGCCTACTGATTGTCCACACACACTCACACATATTCTTTTAAGTTTGCATATATCTATATAAGTTATCTATACACATGTAGGTGCTAATTGAGAGAGAGAGAGAGAGAGAGAGTGAGGGTGAGTGAAAGAGAGACAGATTGTTTTTTTACCATGATAAGATGCAAAATAATATTTAAGTTTGTCAGTTGAAGTAGAATGAGAGAGAATGGGGTTATCTGAGTCTTAACGAGTTGCCTATGCGGTTTACTACGTGGCTTCTTAATGTAATATTGACATGCATATGAAAGGGCTACACCTACTGGTTACCTCTTAATATGACAGGCGCATAAAAGGAGATAAAATGGACTTTGTCACGCTAATTTCACATCAAATTGTAAACAATTCGTAACGTATCACTAAGGCCGCATTCAGATCAGCGGACTAGCTAGCCCACGGATCAAATATGGCCGACCCACTTGAATACTTCCCCACAGGAAATCTATTCAATGTCTATTAGCGGTTTAGACGGCAAGCTTTTTAGTCGGTCGCCATATTTGGTCCGCGGACTAGTTAGTCCACTGTTCTGAATGCAGACTTACCGTTGATTTTACAGTCGAGTGCATTTTACTGCTGCCCTCATTTTGACCTGACCACAAATATCTGAAATGAGTCATTTGCACATGAAATATATATCCTCATTTTTTTATATTAGCTTGTTGTAAAGTTTGCTATTAGTTATGCATGTACCTTCATAGAAGACACGACCTCGGCAGAAATGCTTTCGTAAAACTTATCTGTTGACCTACATATAAATGAGTCAGTATACAAGTGTTTTCTATAGTTTTAACTATTACAACGAAAACTAGATAGTGTTGATCGGTAGCCATCGCATTCCCCCCGCACTTCCCACTGTACATAAGAGCTCACCCTTTGAAACCCCACTTCCTGTATATCCATGACACTGCCTGAATCCTACATATATAATTATTGAAAATTTACTTCATAATTATAGCATGAGAAATATGCCTTCATGCAAAATTACCGACGAAAAAATTACTTCATGTAAAAATAGTATCATCCATTCCAGGAGTAGTCGCTAACTGCACTAACACCCCATTCTCATAGATTAGATCGATCTACATTGGATCGACCTAACTCCCTGGGGGTTCACGCTAAATAGCTGTCAGCCGGTCGGACACGAAAGTTAATTACCCCTTAAAGCTTGTAGTAGGCGGGGACGGACACTTAAGGGGGATTATCTGACAGTAATCTAGTGAGACTCCCCGCGGTGATAGATCGATCTAAAAGTTGTGAGAACAGAGCCTAAAACTCTGAAGTGCCCATGAATATCTCTGATGATATAGCTATCAACCCTCAAAGTTTGAGGCAGTGTTAAATATGATAAATGTCCCTAACCTTCGACGACAGACCCATCCGAGTTCCATTAAATTTATATCCCCATTCTCAAAGACCCCGTCGGTCCACGTAGATCGATCCAGTTCTGCAGGGACTCTCACTGAATGTAATCAGCTTAATTGAACAACAAGCCTCCTCTAATTTCCAACGCACTCGTATTACAGTGTGTATCACCAGCTTTTCCGTATTCTACTTAACGCCAGGAGGTCGCGTGTCGTTCAGCTGAGCACTGCACTCAACAAGAGCCCCAAAATACTGATACAATTTAAATCAGGCCCACTGGAGTTTTGACTGACTATAGCGTCGTATCTCGTCTTATGAACACCAACCAGTTCAAAGACAGCAGAAATTCAATGTCAATATCCAATATCCAAAAGGTCACTAGAGCTGGGTCGATAAGACGATCTTCGAAGAAGCAAAGGCAGTTGTGTCAGTTTTGGTCTGTTAGGTGCTTTAGCTCTTTACAATGAGCTTCCACCAGAGATATACCTTCTGTTTCGTTTTTATGGAATCGTTTCAACCACTGGTGAATAAGAATATTGCAGTACCTGAAAAGCAAATATTTGTAACAATAACAATCAACCAAACGAGGGTATGTTTTCAATCTAACTGATCTAAGTCAATTGAGTAAAAAATAAAAACATATTTCACTATACACTTGCCTTCAACGCTGTTAAAGGTTTGATACATGCTGTCAACTTACACCACTCTCAAACGAAAAATTGGATATTTTACTTCAGCTTCGAACACTATTGCTAAAAATCACCACTCAAATGGACGCCGTTGCAAACAACTCAGTGCCTTACCTCGGCTTTTGGAAGAACCGGAAATATTTGTCTGTGTCTACTCTTGGGAAGATCCTGTCGAAGCCTCCCCGCCTGCTGTTCTCGTCTATCGTGTCAACGAGGATCCGGATGTCATTCGGTGTCAGATTGTCCAGGATAGTGGACAGAATCGTCTGGAAAATCCCAAAAAAGCGATGTTTGCCCATAGACTCGAGATTAAGTGCAGCATTTCGATGAACATTTTATTTACTTTCCTGACCACTGTGTACGTGGCCTTATGTCCCACACGGGTCGAAGAGGAATGATGATGATGATGAACATTGTGTACATAAAATAAAAATAAATAGGGAAAAGTGTACAATATTAATTTGAAAAACTAAAATTTAATATAATATTTACGGTATATAATATTTAATTTAAATATCTGTGCACGCATGCATTTAATCGCTAGTGTCAGTCATCGGCACGGCATTGTTTGCCCATCCCAAATGAAGCACTCAAGCCACATTGCAAATAAAACAAAAATAAAAATTCTAGTTGTATATGTCAAAACCATTTCAATCTGTGTTGTCTAAATATGATTTCGACAAAATACAAACCTCGTTCTTGTAGTTATCACAATAATATTTCTGTTTTGCTTTCTCTTCGCCAGACAATGTTTGTGACCACCAGCGTTTGTCCAGCAGTAAGTGGTCAGGAACGTCAGACCCACTGGAATAGAAATATTTGACTTAATTATTAATTAAGATAAAAAAAGCAAATGGTCTCAAAATAAACTTGGCCTATTTTCCCCTTTGAGACACGGCATTTTGCCCCTAACATAAGGCAGCCTTGGCCAAGTTGAACGGTCGAAACATCATGCCTCATAAATATTTTATATTTAGTCATTTTAGACATGACTTTCTACCATCATTATACCTGAGGAAAGAAAACTCTTCACCGTACATAAATGGTCTCCGATATCTGCGGGGGTAAAGACGGGAAATGCACCCGAAGTCAATGACAACAAACAGATACATTGAGGTTACTCTCGTTGATGCATTATGTCGTTGAGTGTTAAAATGTGTCATCAATTGCTATCACCACTTCGAATGAAGTTCGTCATTTACGCAAAATTTACAAATACCGAAAGCTGCACCAACAATTGTAAAACAATTTATGACAAGTTCAAGTTAAAATATCCCAAAATCATGAGAAGCCTATTTACGAATTTGTCCAGAGCGAAATGCCCTACCTTGTAATTTCATTCCCGTGGTCTGTTTCTTCATTACCAGGAATTCTGAACCCGGCCAAATTCAGCATATCCTTGGCCATGGGGTCATTTACTGGGCGGAAGTGACCGGAGTGTGGGTATAGGCTGTAAATATTACAGTGATGAGTTAAATAACAGAAGATAACTAATTACGTTATCAAAATGAGCTCTTAAGCAGGTTTTATAAACGGGTTAGGCGAAAACGCACACTAAGCGCAGATCTTTTAACACTAACGCCCATATTAAACACAATACCCACAAAATAACCAACACAAAGTGTAGTAAACTGTAAATATGCTTCAAAACTTTTGCAACTTATTTTATTTCATTTTTTTTTCAAAATTATTATTATTATTATTATTATTATTATTGCTTTCTGGTATTGCTTTTTAGTAGTCAAAATGGCAGCTATCCTCAGGATATCTGTCTAAAGGATAACATTGACAATGTAATCCATGGAATCTATCCATTCCAGTTTCGGTAAAACAGGGCCTAGACCTATATCTAACACTTACCCAGGTGCTATGTTGACCTCTGGGACCCAAGGCTTCATGTTATTGTCATAAAGGAAACAAAAAAACTTACCCAGGTGATTTGTTGACCTCCAAGACCCAAGGCTTCATGTTATTGTCCAGAAGTATATCAAAGCCGAACAGTTCATGCCCGCTGTATTTGCTCTGCAGGTATTTCCGCACTCCCTCCCATATCTCAGGCTCCCCGCTGTTTTGGAGAAAGACACACAACGGTTACTTTACTCATACCGCTGTTTGGGGAGGGGGGGGGCACGCAGTGATTACTTAACGCATATGAACTATTACTGCTAACTTATAGAAGAGAGAGCTAATTTCCCAGACATAATTTAATAGTATCTGTAAATAACGAACTTAGTAAAGATCACATTAATTGTTTAATTGTGTGTGTCCATTGAGACAATGTATATAAAAATCCCTTAAGATATATGACATAAAACTAACATCCTTCTTGAATTGTAAATATTACTTACTGTGGGAGTACTACAGAACTTACAAACTTACAATTTCAAACACCAAACAAGGAAAACCGATCCGTTTTTGATATCATGTATTGCATTGTCTGAGCTTTAAGATTGCGTGGATTAATTTACCGATATTTGTAATAATTCATTTTTACATTATGACAAACACGTTACCTTTACGTTTGTTCGAATATATATATTTTTTGCTTTCTCATACAAAGCAACGCGTTTATGAATGATATGGTGCCATCAAGGGATTGATGTGAAGTTACCTGATAATCGTCTTAAGTACGATATCTTTGATATTCTCCCATATTGGCATCCAGTCAGTCCCGTTGTTTGTTCTAAGGTATTCTTTCAATACATTAAGCGACCTAAAGTAAAGAACGCTATTGGTAAGCAAGCACTGTACAGTCGTTGTTTCTAAGCGGATAACACCATTAGATATTTGATCAAAACATAATAAGATACTGTGGTATTTGAGCCAAAACAAAGCTACAGCAATTCCAAAGTGCTCATCAGTTCACAAACGCTGCTGGTGGTACATGTACTAATCCCGAAAAGGATTCAAAACCTCCCCAAACCTACAGTTGGACAATTAATCAAACAATGACTAACAACAGCGAAAAGGGTAAACTTACCATTTGTGCCCTGTTTTCAGCGAATAATCCAAGGTATATGCCGGATTCTTGGCGTTTACCTCGATATTGGTGAGGTGGACCATACTGTCAAGGTCGTCCGTTGTAAACCTAGATAAATACTTGCATAAATACTTGCACTGTTATTTGTTCTGACTGTGCTGTACAGTGAAACATTCCCCCGCAGGCACATAGAAGCAAAATAAGTGTCAAAGGACCCGACTCCGTCTGAAATTTATGTTGCAAAGGAGATCTTGGGATTTAAAATGACACGAGGTTCAGACAGTGTTGGTTCTCGCACGGGGGAAGTGAGACCATTTCATCCAAGCTCAATGATAAAGAATCTTACTGTATCGTACTAATGATATCCATATAATTATCTGGCTAATATGTTGTGCACATCGACAACATAATACGGAAAACCTTATCCAGGTATTTCCTGAAAGACTACCATGAACTTTGATTTAGGCCCCACCCCTTTTTTATTTATTTATTTATTTATTTATTTATTTATTTTATTTTATTTTATTTTATTTTATTTTATTTATTTATTTATTTTTTTGGTTCCCATGGAAGTGACACCAAAACCATTAGTTTATTAACTCTACATTACAATACATCGCATAGAATTAAATAATTACAACAACAACATCATCACATTAGTAACATACTTTTTGGTAGCAAACTTGACCACACCATCAGGGTACAGGTAAACTCTTAGCGGGTTTATACTGGGAACGTAGACGTAGATCCTCATGTCAAACTTATGCCCATCTATGAGGTAAGGGTTGGATATATATCTGGAAGTGAATAGAACCAAGCTCTAATAAAACATATTTTTGGTGTGTGTGTGTATGGGGGGGGGGGGGGGCACTATTTAAATAAATATACGTGCGCTTCGTGAATTTTATGTGTTTTTTTTTTCTTATAATACAATACATTAAGACATACCAATGAATTGACATACACACAAACACAAGCATGGAGGGCCATGGTCCCTGCGAAAATGTGTCTCATTTAACGCTCATTTACGGTTTTCAATCTGTCCTATTACACAATATTTTTCTTTTTTAAAGAAAAATGTTCTTAAACTGTTCTAGGACATTCTGAAGGAATTTCCAAAAACAGTTCTCGAACTGTTACATTTATTACAGAACAACGTTAAAACTGTAAAAAAAACACACACCAAATGATCTAGAATACAATGAGCTAGGATCGTAAGTAACATTGACCGAGGCCCATTTTCACACGGGCGGAAAGATACATTTTAAATTTACCATGTTTTTACTCTTAATAAAAGCTTGATAGATAACTAATAAATAAACTCACACAAACAAACAAACACGTTACACACACACACACGCACATGCACACACACACACACACACACAAACATGGAGGGCCAAGGGGAAGATAAAATTTTAATTTCCCATGTTCTTATGCTCAATAAATAAATAAATAAATAAATATACATGTAACAGCTCTCAATATACTTTATTTACGAACCCGAGTGTACTCTGTGTGTGAACATGGCAGAAACAAGAAACGAATGTCTTTTAATAATTTACAAATAAATAAAATGAACTTAATGCAGAACTGAACAAACTTAGAAAAAATTAAATGAATAACATTAATGAACTAAAGATACTTACTAAATTTCTAAACTAAATAAGGATGAAAATAAATGATAAGCACTTAAATGATCAACTAAACTAAGAGAAATACAAAATCTAAACACAAACAGAAAATGAAAAGTAAACCAATCAAGTCTATCATACCTGTGTGTGAACATGGCAGAAACAAGAAACGAATGTGCCGCGTAACAAAGAGGGGCGTATTTTATATAGAAACGAAGACACACGGACACAAACGAAAAGGCACGAACACACTTCTCTACACTAACACAACCACAATCATACATCATACATACACATATTACATACAATTAAACTCACACACACACCTCTGTACCATAAGCCTAGCGTTGGCAGGAATCTGTTCCTGTCGCCGTATCACTTCAATGCCTCTTCCTCCGTGAAAGCATGGCTGGTCATAGACATAGAAAATATCATTATTTGGTGCTGATAAAATATGTATTATAATTTTTTCCATACATTCTACATTAAATAACCTAGAGTCATTTCGTCTTGTTAAAAGCCTTTCCTCCAATCGATTATATACATACTTAGTAGATACTAGGGCATATATCAATATCAACCGTTTACAAAACATTTCCCCCCCTACCGCTCCCGTGCATGAAGGAGGGTATCAAAAAACATGAGGGATTTACAAAAATGCAAGAGTTATAACTGACCTACCACTATGATGACTACTGGTAAAACTCAATAAATAGCTGGTGCCACTACTCAGCTGCTCACAGTGTTTTACTGCAATGACTTTTATTGAAGGTCTTTTTTTAAGTTTTTTGTTTGAGAATTCTATAACTTGTATCTTTTATTTGTCTTAGATGGTATTTTTTAGAATTTATTTTATTCTTTACATTGTTGTTCAAAGTGCAGATATAAAAATGCACGGGAGTTGCAGTTATTTATAATATCTTGCAGCAATTAACATTAAGGTAATGAATTACACACACTGGACAATAGAAGTGTCACCCCCTAACTCAGAGTAATAAAAGTAGGCAGATCTTGGGTACTTATAATGCCTGCTCTACTTATAATGTGACTAATGAGTATAAAACCGCTATACCATGGAATTGTATTGTTGGTCTTGTACATGTACAGCAAATGTTATTCCTGTCTTCCTCCAATATGGCAAGATACAGGTAATTATCTAACGGTTATAGGTGCAAGTTATTAACCTGAAGAGGCGGAATATAAGGAATGTCAGTATATTGATACAATTGAATTGTTTAGTCAGCACCGTGCAGAGGGTCTGGTCTCGGTATAGAAACACTGGATCAAGAGACGAATTGTCTCTGATGGGTCGTCCAAGAAAAACTACTGGCCATGAAGACCGACGACTGATTTTGATGTCCAGGTTGTCAAAGTTCGACACTGCTTGTCAGTTGACAACACAGTGGAACAATTTCACACATAAGAATGTGTCTGTGAAAATTGCTAGGCGTCGGTAACATGCTCAAAGAGTGTACAGCAGGGTAGCAAGACTGAAACCTCTTATATCGTTACAAAACAGGCAACGTAGAGTGAACTAGGATCAACAGGATCTGGAACTGGACAGTCCATGACAATTGGTCCTATATATTTTTTCTGATGAGTGTCGCTTTGGTCTGACCTCTGATGACAGACGGGTACGATGCTGGCGAACTGCTGGTAAAGCATTTAAACCACATGTACTTAATTTTCGAACCCGGAGCAGCATATTCATCATGGTGTGGGGCTGCATCAGCATCCATGGCGTGGGCGAATTGATAGTGGTTGATGAAAACATGAATCACTAGAAATATATCGATGTTTTGGAGTCAGGCTTGCTACCATCTATTACTAACATGTTTGGTGACAGGAATTATCCATTTGTTCACCAGGATGACAATGTTCCTTGTCACAGGACCAGAGCAGTTGATGGTTGGTTTGACCAACAGGACATTCGCAGGGTGATGTGGCCTGCCCAGAGTCCGGATGCAAACATAATAGAAAATGAGTGGAATGATATGTCAAAACTTTGGACAAATGCCCGTCTAACAAGCGGAGAAACTCTGTTATATTCAGTGTTTCATGCTTGGGCCAGCATAAGCCCTGAGCGCATCAGACAATTATATGAATCCTTGCTTCGTAGACTGGCACCTATTATTAGGTCACGTGGCTATGCCACTAAGTACTAATTTTGGACTTGAAATTGCATATTTTGGTAGAATGTATATTTTGTTCTCATTTTGTGATTTTTTGTGAAAGTTGATGTTAATAAAATGATACCAGGAGCATATCATTCCACAGTCATTTATCTCCCCCATAGTATTGGTTCAGTAGGGGTGACACTTCTATTGTCCAGTGTGTGTATATAATAAAAACCAGTGTAGACTTTTGCGTTCGGTTAACACGTCGTTTATCATACCTCAGACAAAATCTATAATTACATCTTACCGGTTTAAGTATCCAAAGATTGCCATTTGGATTGCTATTCCATGCTTTCTTGAGTAGGTTGGTTTCCTCTGGAAGGATAAAGGTCGGTGGGAGAAAATCAAACTTCTTTCTGCCGTGTGCTTTCTTCATTTTGCGCACAGCGAGCTCTAGTCTGTCCTTGCAACCAATACTCCAACTGCCTGGGAAGTGATTATACTGGAACATAACGTTATTTTATCTATTTCTATATAAATGTATTTTTACAACGAATGTGATTTTTAAAACACTTTTTAAAACTACAGAGGTGTGAATACAAAAACAATTATTAACTACGTTTATATATAACATATATAACGGTTCGACAAATGCTCACCTTTTGACTGGGTCTGAAGTTCTGAAACTTGTATACTTCACTGGGCTGAAAACATCCTACGTAATATCCAACCGCCATGGCAAAATCTGGAATGGATAGATATTTGCATAAGCACTCATTATTACTCATTATTACTTCCGTGGATAAAAATGAGAAGCAAAAGAAAATACCGCCTATTTAATTTTTTTTTACCAAGAGTGCACGATTATGCAGTAGCATTATGAATTCCGTTTGTAAAACATTACTTGTTCTCCGGCCTACTGATTCATGTTAAATTGACCATTCCCAATAATTGTAAATATATGGATATTATGTTTTCGTAAATTAAGGCCACCAGCCCACATTTTATATACTGTGACAATGGCTATTCCAAGTCTATATATGTAATATTCCAAGTCTATATATGTGTTTTCCCCCGTATAACGCCTCATTTAATTAAGGCGAAAAAAGAAAAAATACGCAATAAATAAATAAATTAATTAATAAATTAATTAATTAAAACTATAATGAAATAAATGGCACCTTTAGTCAGGGAGTAGCCGGATCTGATGGCCGTTGCAGCGACTAGAGGGGAACCCCCGTCATACCAAAGTAGACGGCGACTTATATTATCCGGCAATGGTTCTTCTAAAACGGAAAAAAGTCTCACAATCATAAAGAGAATACATAAAACATGTAAGATACTTGAAAAAGGGCATTTCGTTTCTAAAGAGACAACGTTATTTTTAAACTTAGGATGCACGACGTTTCACTTTTTCACCATCATACAAGCTACATCACCAATAACGATACAGTTTACTCAAATTGACTGTACACTCAGATTCAAATGTACAATATTTCAATATTATGTCGAACGATTGCTCGCTATTTTTCTTATATAAAGGGTAAAAAAATTTTTACAATCCCCACACTGTTCAACAGTCTTAATGAAGAATAGAGAATAATGAAGGGAAAATTGGAAAGTATCCAAAAGCGTTACATTGATCCCATTGCTCATAATCCCATTGCTCATAATAGGATTAACTGTAAAATGAAACTTGAAGAACTTTAAGAAGCATTCATTTTAAGTTTTCGTGTACGTGTACAATTAAAATTTCCCCCATTATTCGTAATTTATTTTTTATTAAAGTTTAACTGAAGATGGTTGCACAACTGCCCCACCTGTCAACTGATAAACTTTGTCCAAAATGTTTTTGTGTGGCTCCTAGCTAGTTTGCGTAAAGTTTGATACAGGTAACAACTGAAACAGCAGTTATTAAATAGCATCTATTCCATTGACTTTAAAATAACTCACTCCGTTGTCCAGGCATTATAAAGTTGATGTAGGGTGGGACATTGGAGAACAGGCTGGGTGTGAGTGCCGGCAGTAACGGCTCCGATACCTTGTCTGGAATCAGAATATATTTATATATAGACAACTGATCAGATTATTAATTGACCCAAATATATCATTACTAAAATACTCAGTTCATCACTATAATGAGGTGATTCTTATACCTGTTTTGGGACAAAAAATATTTTTATAGTGTATGTCAACAGCCTAAGAATGATAAACCGAATATGCTGACCAAATTCAAATAAGACTCCTTCGTGTTCAGTTAACATATTTCGGAACTTTACCTTTCACTGACGTCAAACTGACTTCTTCACAGACACCTCCATTAGTTGCTGTGACACAGTCAATGAAAGTTTGGGCACTGTCACTTAAACCGTATGTTGCTCTTTTAGGACAATGCGCAGCAGTGTGGGTCGAGCCTGAGCATTTGACTGCAAGAGAAACTGTTTAAAATAATTATATTTAATAAAAAAAAGATAAATGACTTAACTGTGCAAATGCTGTCCCTAATTGATAAATACACGCGGCATGGAACCGAAGTGGGTTGTTATATTTCACAAACGATTTTTATGAATAACCTTTTAAGTGTTTTGTTTTTAATTCTGCCCGCATAATTTACATATAATCATTTTAGCCGTGGATGACTGACCGCAGTAAAGTGAATACTTGAGATAGACCGTGGCCCATATGCTACTTGCGTGAAGATATACATGTAGGTGAATATGTTTTAGATTTACTAATATTGTATAAAGACATGCTTTTGCTATACTACCGTACAGTATATAAATTAATTATCTACCAGCATCCCTTCAACCATATTAACGTAGTAAATGATTAAGATCGGGTCCGAGTTATACGGTATATCAGTTTAATCGGCTTTATGCCAGAGCTAAAATGTTAACCTTAGCCATCTTCCCTACATTTTTTTCCAGTTTTTAGTTTTCAATTTACTTATCGGTATGCATTTAATCCATGTTGCACAAAACACAGTTTTATAACTAAAACACACGACGTGACACCTGGTAATAAAGATATTAACTACTGGCCTTGGTCTACAAGTGCTTCCCCATCTTTTCACAACCGGAAAACTTACACAGGTCAGGGAATAATAAAAGTTAAAAATACTTATGAAAGCAATTTATCAAACGGTCTAGGTACCTGTCATGGAGCTGGAAGATACCACCATCCAAATAGCCCACGTAGTCCAATTATTCAACGGAATCATGTCGTGGATATTTACTTCAAGGATACACTAACTGGTAGCTTGTCCCCGCGCGCTCTCATTTCACTTAATTGTGGTAAATCTGCGCCATCTATAAATCATGAGGCACCAGTGGAGCTCGGCTAGGGACTCATTCCCAATGAAAATATCGTTCCACGCAGATCGATCCAAGACTTTCGCTGATTGCGATTAGATAAGCGCATTAACACTAAACCACTTGTTTCCATCGCTTTCGTACAATCACCACCTTTTCTGTGGTCTAATCAATACCAGGAGAAGGCGCATTTATATGGTAATCTGCTTGCATTTAGCGAGAGTCCCCTCGATGCTGGGTCGATCTACATGTAACCATAAATCCATTGGGAATGAGCCCCTAGGACGTGACCTTATAAGGCTTTCGTACGCGTATTCAGCCTTTTCTTTCATTTCTGAAGAATTATCTATTTTAAACCATGTTTTATCACTAATTTTGATTTATTTAATCTTATAGTTTGCTTTTTTTAAAAACGATGATGAAGGAATTAAATAGCTGTTGTTCAAAAGTAAGCTTCATTTGTAGCAATTTTGCTGTGTAAGTTTTATGACACGTTACTCGACCTGCCCCCAGGCGTGGCCCAAGACGTGCCTCAGGGCGTGGCTCAGGGCAGGGCTTAAGGCGTGGTCTGGGCTCTTTGTGGACCACTGATTGTCAACACATTACTTTGAGTATGTACATTTATGTACGTTTCGAGAGAGAGAGAGAGAGAAACTACCGGTCTCTGTAGATCGATGCAACTATCGATGGATGCAATCAGATAAACAGATTAACAAAAGTGTCTATGCATAACCCTGATGACAAGTATATCAACATAATTTCAACATCACTTTAATAGTCTACGAGGAGATATTGGAATTTATTACCGGACAGACGAATGAACAAATGGGCGCATGCGCACGGATGGGCATGATAACATGATCCCCGACATCTGTCACAGAAATGCGGGAATAAAGTATAAGTTTCAGTGCCATTTATTTACACATTACATACTGTTCCCTTTTTTGCTTCATAATACCTTTCAAGTCACGTTTAGTTATGATTATTAGCGCCATGTAGCTATTTATTTGTTATGCACTTTAGTTCTTCATGTTCTTTACTTCCACAGTTTCAAACCACATGTTAAGTCAAGATTAACAACCAACAGTGCAAGATCCACTAGAGCTGCGGCAATAAGATAATCCCCAAAGAAGCTAAAGCATTGATGTTGCTCATCCGTTGTTTCATCTTTAGTCTGCAAGGTGCTTTAGATCTTTACAATGAGCTTCCACTAGAGATATGCCCTCAGTTTCGTTTTTATGGAATCGTTTTAACCACTGGTGAATTAGAATATTGTGGTACCTGTAAAATAAATATCTCTAAAATAAAAAATTGTGTTTTCAAGCAAAACAGCCTTATTGAATAGTTTCGTTCAATTAAATCCCACAATAAATGTAATATACATTTGCCTATAGCCCAGTAAACGAACGAAATTTCCCCTTTTCAGTTAAAAACTGTTTAAAAAAAGGCTTCTCAACTGAACCAGGTCCAGTAATGGACGAATGTATCCCAGATAATTTACACCACAACCAAACAGTAAGGTAGATATTTTCTTCTGCTTCGACTAATATTGCTAAAATCACCGCCAGATTGGACCTCTTCGAAAACAACTCGATACCTTACCTCGGCTTTTGAAAAAACTGGAAATATTTGTCTGTGTCTAATCTTGGGAAGATCCTGTCGAATCCTCCCCGCCTGCTGTTCTCGTCTATTGTGTCAACGAGGACCCGGATGTCATCCGGTGTTAAATTGTCCAGGATAGTAGACAGAATCGTCTGGAAAATAAAAAAAAAATATTGGGACAATGCAAGTGATCAGATCTACACTGGAACACGCTTGTTCAGTTTCGCACCCGGGACTTAGAAATCAACAAAGTGACAAGATTGAAACGACCCAGAAAAAGAGCACATAAAATCACATATCCAGACATTCAATATGATGAAAACCTTACAATTTGTAACACTGTAACTCTTGGCAGCAAAATGGATGACACGGAATTATTTTATGTCAGATATACAGTAAAATCCTAAACGTGATGCGAAGGCCTTCTTTCACATTTTTTTAAATGACGTTCTGTTTGTCAAAAAAACCTTGAACCCCACTTCAATCTGTGCTGCATAGACATGAGTTCGATAAAATACAAACCTCGTTCTTGTAGTTATCACAATAATATTTCTGTTTTGCTTTCTCTTCGCCAGACAACGTTTGTGACCACCACCGTTTGTCCAGCAGTAAGTGGTCAGGAACGTCAGACCCACTGGAATAAAAGTATCGGCTTTCTTCACCATGATACAAATGCAAATTCCCTCTTTATAAACTAGGCATATTTTCCCTTTTGAGTCATGACATTTTTGCCCCTAACAATAGAGAGCCTTCCTCCAAGATGAACGATCGAAACGTGATGCTTCATAGGTATTATATATTTAGTCATTTTTAGAAACCACTTTTACCATCATTACGCTTGAGACAGCGAATTGTTTGTATTGTAGCAATGAGGATATTAGGAACAGATCAATATGCAATGTGATAAATGTTTAAATTTTTTTCTATTACTACTAGATAACTTGTAAGTCGTTTTCAATAGAGGCTGTCATTTAAACACAATTCATAAATATAGTAAGCTTTACCAACAAATGAAGAACAGTTTGTAGCTAGTTCAAGTTAAAATATCCCAGTATTATGAGAAAATGATTTACACAGTTGTCCAGAGCGGAATGTCTTACCTAGTGTTACTATTCTCTTTGTCTGTACTCTGATCACCAGGAATTCTGAACCCGGCCAAATTCAGCATGTCCTTGGCCATGGGGTCATTGACCGGGCGGAAGTGACCGGAGTGTGGGTATAACCTGTATAATGTAAAGGAGTAGATTCATTCAGTAAGTCTGATATCAGAAGATACATCGTAGCCGATGAAAGTCTCAAAATAAGCTTCTTAATACCCTGTATGCCGAGGTTGCGACCACGTGGAATACTAATTTTTGTCGACTTTCACATCCTTCAAAGTTAAGTTGGGGCTTTGACAATAATTGAAAGCCAACATCAAATTCATTCATCAGAGTTAAATAACTTTAAATATTAGTGCCCTTTTCTTTTATTACATATTTTGAAAAACTCTTACCCAGGTGCTATGTTGACCTCTAGGACCCAAGGCTTCAAGTTCTGGTCCAGAAGTATATCAAAACCGAACAGCTCATGCCCGCTGTATTTGCTCTGCAGGTAAATTTGTACTCCCTCATTTATCTCGGACTCTCCGCTGTTTTGAGGGAAAAACAACAGTTACTTTATGCATACGAACAATGGGATTTTATGGAAGAGAGAGCATGACCTTTTTCGAAACATACTTCTTGTTAGCAGCTGTTAATGAAAGAACTGGCCACTAAAACTGTAAATGCGTGTGGGTCTATTGAAACAAAGTAAATATAAATCCTGGAAGATATGGGAAAAAACTTACCTACTTTTGGGCATGGCTAATTTTCATTTACTGCGAATATAGCAGACTTTACAATTTCAAACGCCAAACAAGGATACCCTATTTGTTTTCCATCGCATATAGGTCATTGTCATAGCTCCAAAATAGTTCATTGTCTAAGTTTCAAAATTACGTAGCTTAATTCACCGTTAGTATTATATAAAGATTCATCGCTAACTCATACTTATGTAAGATACATGTTACATTCTTTTAGGTTTGTTCGATTCCAATTCACTTCCTCATACACAGCAATGTTTTCGTATGAGATGGTGCCAGAGAGGTAAACGGGTGAATTTACCTGATAATCGTTTTAAGGACGATATCTTTGATTTCCTCCCATATTGGCATCCAGTCAGTCCCGTTGTTTGTTTTAAGATATTCCTTTAATGCACTTAGTGACCTGAAGAAGAGAACACTATTCGTAAGCAAGCACAGGGAAATACAAATTCTTTTTTTACACGGTTGCATCATTAAATGTTTGATAAAAAAGAAAATAATGATACTAATATAGAGACACTTATGTTTGACCAAAAAAAGCTATAACGAATTAGTTCAAAATATGCAGCCTCATCAATTTATGATGCTGGTGACGCCATAGTTAAAGTCCAGAAGGATGCCAAACCTGTGTAAACGTACTATTTCTTTATGTTGAACATGCTACCTAACAATGACTTACAGCACTGAAAGGGATAAATCGTTACCTTTTGTGTCCTGTTTTCAGTGAATAATCCAATGTATATTCCGGATTCTTGGCGTTTACCTCAATATTGGTGAGGTGGACCATAGTGTCAAGGTCGCCCGTTGAAAACCTAGACAAAAAATGATATAATATTGAATTAAGTCATGATACATGTAAATGCGTACACTTTCATTCGCTTAGACTTTCCATTAATTTAATAAGTCTACATCACAGTGCATCACATACAGTCTATTTTTTACAAGAACAACAACGACAGTTACATACTTCTTTGTGGCAAACTTGACCACACCATCAGGGTACAGGTAAACTCTTAGTGGGTTTATACTGGGGACGTAGGCGTAGATCCTCATATCAAACTTATAACCATCTATGAGGTAAGGATTGGATATATATCTGGAAGTGAATAAAACCAAGGTGTTATAAAACAGAAATCGAGCGGATTAGGTAGGTAGAAGCAATGATTATTGTTTTAACAAGTTTTTTAGTTTTAAATAGAAAAGTAAATATACTTTACGTGACGTGCACCTTTTGAATTTTCAAAGTGTTTTTCTCATAAAACAATTCGTTAAGATTACTTTTACCAACCGTTTGACACACACAAAAACATAGGCACAAAAAGCACACACACACCAACGCACAAACGAACGCATCAGCCAAAAGTTTTACTGTTGACAAGATAACATTCTACCTTTGTACCACAATCCTGGTGTAAGCAGGGATCTCTTCCTGTCGTCGTATCACTTCAATGCCCCTTCCTCCATGAAAACATGGCTTCCCATAGACAAAAAACATTATTTGGTGTAGATAAGTGTGATATATATGACATAACTCCCACCCCACCACATTCGACATTAAATATTACATTACATTGCACTGCACTGCACTACACTACATTACATTACATTACATTAAATACAGTTATATCCTCTCGTCAAAACCTTGCCTACGATTGCATATGCATGGATACGGTAAATTTTATCTTACAGGTTTAAGAATCCACAGATTGCCCTTCTGCTTGCTACCCCATGCTTTCTTGAGTAAGTTGGTTTCCTCTGGAAGGAGAAAGGTCGATGGGAGAAAATCAAAGTTCTTTCTGCCATGTGCTTTCTTCATTTTGCGCACAGCGAGCTCCAGTCTGTCCTTGCAGCCAATACTCCAACTGCCTGGGAAGTGATTATACTGAAACATAACGTTATTTTATCTATTCCCTTAAAATATGCTTTTACATTGAATGTGCATTTTGCAATGCGTTTTAAAACTATAGTGACGATTGTCAAATATGTCCACAATAAGATTAATGTTCGTTTACAATTGCAATCAAGGTACTTAATTGTATTGGGAGACTATGTGAAAGTCGGTTTAGAGGCTGCAACTTTGTGTTTTTCAGTGTTTCTATCGGTTTGTCCAATCTTTTATATCTTATGAACTTTTCAATATTTTAAATCCTTTAGTACGTTTAAAACATACGGTATGGTGTGTGCACAATTAGGGACAGTGGTACAGGTGACATGCTTGGAAGAGAAAGATGTATGAGATAGGTAAGAATAGGCCTACTAGTATTGTTTTTATCAGAACAGAGTGGTAGGCCTCCCTACAGGATAATCTTAAATTTTCTCAAGATTTTATCCCTTATTCCTTAAATCACCGAGGTATACCAGACCAAAGATATACAGAATCTATACAGGATCACAGTCTATACACTCGATTTTGAGTCTCAAATTTCTAGCTTTGAGTCATGCTAGAAATGGTGAAATGGTGAATTGCATTCGTGATGATAAATAATAGAGATTTGGAGCTAAAAAAACTGGATAAATTATATAAAGAAATTTTTCTCATCATACCTTAGTTGGTAAAGGTAGTTAATTAGCAGTAATTTCCAGTAGACTGACATATTCTATTTAGACATCTACATATACATACCTAGGGATGTTATATGACCGTGGCGATATGATGATCACTGAAGCTTGTCCATTTAGCCAAGCTTCAGTGAAGATCGAGGGCAACCTCGAGCCGCTACCCAAAAAATGTCTCGCTTCACTCGACATTTCTGCGTAGCGTTTCTCGGAAAACTCGGATTTAACCTCGATGTAGTCTAGAATTTCACGACCACATCTTGGTTAAATCAGTCGAGGTATCTTAAATGCTGAAAGCCAAAGACAGAGTGATCATGTGACTTTCTTGGCATCAAGAGAATAGTGACGTTGCTTACGTTATATGGGGTCAAACGGCTGAAAGGTCATACTGGGTGAAAGTTGGGGGACAATTCAACACCTAGCTAGAGACAGAGAGGAGTGGAGGACCTTTGTTGACGCCCTAGACGCCCAACGGCGTAATAGGAGATAGTAGTAGTAGTTACGTTATATACCTACCAGTAGACAAATTTAAAATCTCTCACACTCTTAAATAAATTAGCATAAACTTTTCACGTTTAACAATTATTATTTATCATTTTATTACAATAAGTCATATCATATGGGTATGGTTTGAAAACGGGAATTAGTTTACATTTAAGCCTCACGTGTATACAAATTATTTGTAAATCTATAACTTTTTAACGAGGGTTGTGTTATTTACCTTTTGTTTTTAAGCTGTTCATTCCTCCTCTTTATCAGATATATCGGTAAAAATCAAATGTATTCCCCCTTTGAACTTGTAATTACATGTAGCACATGAATGCTATGAAAACCAGCACATGTATATTCCGAAACCGTCTCGTAGCAAAAAATGTCACCAAAACGTAGAATTATTACTCCTGTGGACTTGAAATAAACATCCGTTTGATTTTGACTATATTCCGTAACCGCCTCGTCGTCAAAAATGACAATAAAAAACTAGAATTATTACTCCCGTGAACTTGTAATAAACATCCGTCGATTTTGACTATATTCCGTAACCGCTTCGTCGTCAGAAATAACAATAAAAAAAACTAGAATTATTACTCCCGTGAACTTGTAATAAACATCCGTCGATTTTGACTATATTCCGAAACTGCCTCGTTGTCAGAAATATCACCAAAAAGTAAATTTCTTTCTCCTTTGCACTTGTGAAAAATAAGTTTGACTATATTCCGGTCCGACGCTCCTTTCTTATCAGAAATGTCACTAAAAAGGAGAGGTTTTGCCTTGGGACCTTTTTTCCGCAGCAGTCCCAGCTAGGTGTGGCTCAGCTGAGACGCGCATGGTCAGTGTCGACGGTTGATTAAATACTTTTCAAGCCAGATGAACGTCCACGACAAGTATTTAGCAAAAATTGACCAAATTGGTCAGACATTACGTAAGAATTTGGCGGGAGGTGACTAAGCGCACGTGGACGAGTTTACTCCGTATAACATCTCTAGAGCGTGATATAGGGTCACTTTATTCGGTTTTAGGGGTGTTTTAGGAGGAAATGACTGTTTTTTTTTCTCGGTATGTATGTCAAATAATACACTGTCACCCTCTTGCGATATATGCCATGAAGTTATGTCTCACACGTAGCTCGGACCACATGCCTTTAAAATTGTAAGATATTATATACAAAAGTTTGGGCAAATGTTCACCTTTTGACTGGGTCTCAAATTCTGGAACTTGTAGGTTTCACTGGGTTGTAAACATCCTACGTAATATCCAACTGCCAGAGAGAAATCTGGAAATAAATAGTAATAATAATTATATATTTAAGTATGGATTCAAAATTACGTGCACATACATGTATGCGCATTGGTTAAATATGAAGAGTAAAAATGCTGTCCATTTTAAACTTTGACCAAGAATCCAATGCACTATTATTGAATAGCGTTTTGAATTACGACCGCGAGACATGTTCTCCGGCCTATTACCGATTCATGTTAAATTGCCCATTTCCAATAATGGTATATAGTTTCCCAAATACAATATTATGACTTATTTTATGAAGATGCTAAAAAGAAGAAACCAGCTAGACAGAAAATACAATGGAAGAAAAATCTCAGCGAAAATTTTAAAAACTTATTCATAAGATAAAATAATACTCTATGAAGACTATGGGTACTTTTAGTCAGGGAGTAGCCGGATCTGATGGCTGTTGCAGAGACGAGAGGGGAACCCCCGTCATACCAAAGTAGACGACGACCTATATTCTCCGGAAATGGTTCTTCTAAAACGGAAAGAAGTCTTACAATCATAAGAAGAATACATTAAAGAGAAAAGATACCAGTAAAGGATCCTCAGCATTTTGATTCTAATGAGACCTAACGTATTTTTTATCAAGATGAATGACGTCTTCACTATTATACCAAAAAAAATCACAAAAAAAAACGATATATACGATTCACTCAAATTGAATATTCATCCCAATTCATATATACAATATTTCAGTATTATGACACGTGATTCCCGATTTTTCGTAATTTACTTATTAAAGCTACACTGAAGATGGTTGCACATCTGCCCTGCCTGCCTACTGTTAAAAATCCTATTTGCTTTGTTTTCGTGTTGCTCCTAGTTTGTGTCATGTAACAACTGAAATAGCTTCTTTGGTATAACTCACTCTGTTGTCCAGGCATTATAAAGTTGATGTAGGGTGGGACATTGGAGAACAGGCTGGTTGTGAGTGCCGGCAGTAACGGCCCCGATACCTTGTCTGGAATCAGAATATATAAAATATTTATACAACTGATGAGATTATTAATTGAAGCATACGCAACATGACTAAAATGCTCAGTTTACTAATGCCAGTTTTCTGGCAAAAAATATTATTTGAAGGGTATTGGATATACTACACGTATACTACATGATTGAAACCAAATATGTTGACAAAATCCAAAAATGAACTCTTTGAATTCAGTTAAACGTTTTCAGGAGTTAACCTTTAACAGACTTCAATCTGACTTCTGCACAGATACCTCCATTAGTTGATGACAGTGTGACACAGTCAATGAAAGTTTGTGAACTGTCACTTAAACCATATGGTCCTTTTGGAGTTCGTTTTGGACAATGTACATCTGCATGGGTCGAGTCTGAGCAATTGACTGCAAGAGAAATTGTTTAAACTTATTTTCAATAAAAAAGAAGAAAATGACATAATTGTACAAATGCTGTCCCTATCAGAGGAATACATGCTGTATGGAATCGACATGGGTAGTTAAATTTCACATACGGTTGTTATAACTCACCTTTGTTAGTGTTTTGTCAAAATACAGTAACAAAATGTCCTGATTTCAAGAGGTATATTTCAAGATAGAAATACAGAGATGAGATACCTGTATTATAGCTGTGGTCGCAGAAAATCATAAATATCAGCACAGCCGATGTTGCCCACCCCTTCTTCCCAGCCATGCTTTTTGCTCTCGGTGCATTGGCCTAATTCATCTGACCTGAGGCTTAATATTGTACGATCGTTGGTGCTATATACAGGTGTGAACATTATTAACGACATTTCAAGCACTGTAGGTTGCTTGGGTAGTCAATACTATGTGGACAACAATCCGCTCGATGTGTATTTAAGTGGTCTCGTGTAACCGCAGAATGGTGGGAAGAGTTAGAGCCCATTCCAAATGATACTTTCGTTTTACGTAGATCAATCCAATGCAATCACTATTAACACGCCTCCTCCTGGCGTTGATTAGAACACCAAAAAGTTGGTGATTATAAACGAGTACGTTGGAAATAAAAGGAGGCGTGTT